AGTCTTCGTTGATTTTTTTTCTTCCTCACGGATGTATATCTAGTTTTTCTTTTATTTAGCTTTCTGATACAGCAAGAGAGCCAAGCGAAAGAAAACTTACAGTTTACTAGCAATTGTAACGGTAATGGTTTTATTTCACGTCTATATTTGTTTTGTTGTTGGGAGGCCGATGATTTGTATCAACAGTGAGAGATGCAACAAGATTTTCAGTTTCTGAGCCGTTTCTGTCAGACGAATGCAGCAAACACCTCTGTGCCTGTCTGCATGTGGTTATGAATAGAACTCGCTAGCTGCTAACTGACGCCCCAGTGTTTGAGATTAAAGCTGCACAGGAGCCTCACTGAAAAAACCAGTCCAGGATAAAACCCTCCGCTCTGAAATCCCTGTGAAGCCTCGGAGGATCCACCCTGCGAATCCACGCACACTTACAAAATATAGATCCTCTGTAGAGAAAAACAAAAACATTCCAGCTCCTCAGACTCAGACTGGCTTCATGATCGGATCGCTGCATTTCCCCAAAAAACAGAGCGAGACACTGACGTCGCCTCACAGATTTGAAGTCTGTGTGATTTCAGTGCACACACACACACATTAATGCCCATTTATAAAGTCAGTGCAGCATTACAGTCGTTCAGTCTGTCAAAGGCACCTGAGTTTAGCTCCAACCTGAGCCGGAGGTTCACCAGTGTTTACACAACACACACACACACAAACACACACACGTACAGTATTCTGTATATATCAGCTTCAGCCTTCTGATAATCTACAACATGTCGTTTTTCCTCAAAACCTGCATCATTCCCTTTAGCTGCAAACCAAACAGACAACCACACCGGCCCGAATACAACACGACGGTTTTATAACTTTTTTAGAACTTGCTGCTTTACTTGAAGCGAGCAGTCAGGACCAGAGGTGTTTGGTTAGCCCAGTTTAACCAGCAGGAGCTTCTGATGAGTTCTTTAACGTTTGGTACGACTCGAAAAGACGCAACACGCCAATCCAACCGTCTTCCTGGACTACACAAATCTCTGGAAAAGGAAAACAGAGGGTCGTCCTATAGTCGGGCCGGTACCACTTTTAAAAACAGGATGCACGGTGTTGTAACATTAACATTAAAATAAGCATCATTCATTCATGTAAGATTGAAATGTTGATCTGCAGTTTAGGAGCTACAATCAGTCCTAAAGCTTGACTCTGTTAACAATCTGCTCCAGTTCGTCCTGATCAGCAACAATTAACGGATTGAAGGTAAACTAATCAACCGCAGTTCACTTTGTTTCAACAAGGACTTGAAGTGAAAAGCTCAGAATTTTGCTTTTAAACCCTGTTAACGGCACAAGCGTCGGTGTTCCGTCCTATTTCAGAACCACCGAGTGCTTGTTTACAACTACACAAGCTGTAGCAGCCAGTAACAAGCAGCACTGCTAATTCCTCGGTTATTCTACGCAATTAAGCAGATTTAGTTTGTAGTTCCTCCAGAGGAAATTCAGGAAACGTTCCTAAAAGGATTGGTAAAGGTTGAGTGATTCTCACATGTGAGAATCTGCTGCTTTTCTCCGTTTCATCTCTTTACTGTAAACACATCTTCTAATGTCTGCAGCTGATACATAAAACGTCATGATTTGATGTTTATCTGAAAATAACCACATCCGGAATAATAATCCGAACTCTAAGCAGCTATTTATGCGCTGATAGATTTCCATTTATGATTTTAGGTAGTTTGGTTAAAAATGTGAAGTGGCTCAATTGCTGAACAACCTTCAGATTGTTCCTAAAATGTTCTTAAGAGCGTATTATTTAAGAGTGTGGTTTTTACATTATCTGAATAACTGTTGAGTGATGAATCAACTATCACTGTCATGTTGCCATGAAGTTAAACATGATCCAATTCAGAAATATTGAAACTCCGAGAAGTTTTGCCAGTAAATGACTAATTCTGCCGTCAAAACTGTAGTCTGTAAATGTTCTGTCTGTTTCATATCATTGATTAGCGCTTCACTTCATTGCAGGAAACCTGACACCTCCTTCTCTCCAAGTTTTTTTAAAAATCAGCTAATCTGATGATTATTTTGACAATTAGCTGATTAATCGTTTCATCTTAAGATAGGCCCCCCGCGACCCTAATGAGGATTAAGCGGTGTATAGATAATGGATGAATGGATCTTAAGATGGGGGAGAAAATGCTGCTTTGCAACGTTTTTGTCTGAAAATAAAACACTCAGTTTACAACATTACAAACAGACAATCAGCAGCAAATTCTCACACTTGAGTGAACTTTTTGGCATCTTTGCTGAAAGAAATGGCCAGTAATCAATTATCAGTGTAGCTGTTGGTCTATGGACTGATCGCTGCAGCTCTGTTTCTGTCTCACACACACTCTCACACACTCCCACACACCCGTGCAGTGTATCTACTTGTGCTCTTGTCCCTGACTCTGGCTCTCCTGAGTGGCTTTTCCCCAGCTCAGCCCGTTGATGGGCGTGTGTTTATCCCAGCTGTCCGTGTTGTGTCCGTGCTTCCTCTGGTGGCGTTTGTAGTTGTCCCAGTGGCCCGTCGTGTAGCCGCACTCGGCGCAGGCGTACGGCTTCTCGCCCGTGTGCCGCAGCATGTGCCTCTTCAGGTTCATGCTCTGGTTGCAGGAGTAGCCGCAGATGCCGCAGTGGAACGGTTTGGCGCCTGAGTGGATGCGCTCGTGGCGGCGCAGGTTGGCCAGGTTCCCGCAGGCGTAGCTGCAGGACGGACACTGGTAGGGCTTCTCGCCCGTGTGCACGCGCAGGTGGCGTTTGAGGTTGTCGAGGTGCGACGAGGTGTAGGGGCAGTGTGGGCAGCGGTGGGGTTTCTCTTCGGAGTGGGTGTGGGAGTGTCGGGCCAGGTGGTTGGGGTAGTGGGACAGGAAGGGGCAGCGAGGGCAGCGGTACAGCTTGGAGCCTCGCTGTCCACGCCGAGGTCCCCGAGAGCCGTCTGGGCTGCAGGGAGGCCCCGAGCCGTCTTTGGACAACAGGTCCAACGAGCAGCGACGACACACCTGATAGAACAAAACAGAGGACACGATCAAAGGCGGTTTTCCTGCTGAGGACAGACCAGACGAGTCCATGTCATGTTGCTAAATCACACTTCTGGTGGTGGACAGAAACCAAGTCCATTTACTGAAGCGCTGTCCTGACAGTAATATCTAATATATGAATACATCTGTGGGGTTCAACTTCATCATTTTTCCAACTATCTCTATATTTTCTAACCCATTCCTGATAAAATAAATTCATTTAAAAAAGCTCTACTTCAGCTGTGACTCAGCTGTCTCTCTGTGGCCTCCAACAACGTTCACAAAGTTGAAACTTAAACAACCAAAAACATATTAACAAAGTTTCATGCTGGACTTTGTGTTATTCAACATTTTTACACGAAGGTTGACATTTTTCACTTTAAAAGAGATGATCAATCTCCTCAATTATACATAATTCTTTTCGGCCCTGAAAAATCGACTTGGTCAAGTCATATGACACTGAGCTGGTGAGAGAAGCTCTAATGTGATTATGGTGCGCTCACAGTATTCAACTTCATCTTAAAGAACGTGTTCTCCCACGATTTAACTTCTCAGGCTGATGATTGAACCTGCTTTGGCCATAGTGGACTTGACAAACCTGACACCAAAACTCAGGACTAGAAAACTTCTCAAATCTGCATGTTTGTTTGAAAATGTGACAGTACTTTCCAAAAAAGATGCCAGAATAGAGATCAGTGAAGACAGGCATTACAAATTTGAAAAAAAAGAAGTATTTATATATGTTCATTTAGTTGTATACAGAAAACTGAGTGTCCTAAAAATGGCCACTGAATTCTAAACTTTCCTCAACAAGACGAAGTGGGAAGTCAAACTGATGTGGAAGCTGCTTCTGTTTGCTGTTGCTATGGAAACAAACTGCGCAGCCTCGTTTTTCCAACATGAACTCCACAGGCGCTTTCAGTTTGTTCCAGCTGAAAAATAAAACAACAGACAAAACCACAGATCTCACCTGTCCTCCGTCGCCCTCCGCCTCCCCCTCGGCCTTGTCCCCCTCCAGGTCGGCCTCCTCCAGGGTGAGGCCGCACACCCGGCAGCACAGGGGGAACAGGAGCACCGGGAGCGGGCCGGAGGGAGAGCCGAGGCCCCCCAACGTCTGGAGGTAACCGGAGTCCTGGGACAGTCGCAGGGTCAAGTCCGACACGACTGCACAGAGAAAAGCATTGAACTTTTACACAGTATTCAGATTTAAATGCAGTTCTACTTTATTTTTGTGATCCGATCTTTAATAAAAACGCTGAAAAACTCCCTCTACATCCTAAAACTTTTACTGATCATAAAAGCTTCCTCCTTTGCTCAGCCTTAAGATAAAAACCCTCCAGGTTCTTCTATCCTCTGCTAGTCTGTCTTCCAAACCTTTGCCCTTGCCAGCAACTAAAAGTTAATTTTACTATTTCACTCAGTTATTCTGGATAATAATCAGCTCAAGTGTAGCGACGTTCCTCTAAACGTTTCTCCTCCTACAGTTCAGCTCAGCAGAAGTTAATTTTAGATCGATGAGCACTCAACCAATGAGAATTTCTCTTCCTCATTTTTTAAACTCTTTCAGTTTCGGCTAGCTTCCTCTTTTCTGCTTTGTGCTTCCAACGTGAACATTTTGTCTTTTTAGACTTTTAAAAAAAAAACTTTGAGGGGTCACCTCAATCTGCACTTTGTGTTTCGTCAAATTTTTCCTCACTGTGGGTTCATTTTTCCTGCANGAAGAAGGGAAGGAAGGTTGGAAGGAAGGATTCCTTTCAGAAAAGTCCCCTCTGGCTGTGATATCCGGAGATGCTGCTGCAGAGAGTGGTGGCGCCCTCTGCTGGCTGATCTGAGCCCTCACAGCTGTTTCCTCTCCAGCAGCTTCTTCCAGGACGGCATGACGTGCTTGTAGATCGCCTCGATCTGCAGCACAGAAGATGTCGTTTAAACACGGTTCACCGCGAACACCGCGATGCCGACTCGCTGCCGGTGGTTCACCTGCTCCGACTTCTTCACGCCGTATCTGAAGAGCGTCGCCTGGTGCTCGCTGTTGTGGAACAGGATGTCGAACGTGACCTCGCGGCCCATCATGTCGTCGATGGCCGGCTTCACCACACTGTGGAAGTCTCGGGCCGGATGCAAGCCGTCCAGCATGTTGTTGACCTGGTGTCAGAAAGTATTTTCAATTAAATGTCTAAATGGAGAAACGGAACAAGTTCCAGCGCAGGAACCCACAAAACCTAAAACCCGCTAATACCGACCCTGGGGAATTTCTCTGAAAACTATTTACAGGAGGGAACAAAAACCTTCTCCATGGTGATACCTAAAAAACTGGCCTGATGCTGATTGGTTAAACTCAAAAAAGGCAAATGCTGATTGGTTAAAGTTGTAAAAGACAAAACGTAATTGGCTAAACTCAAAAAAACACAAATGCTAATTGGCTAAACTCAAAAACATACAAATGCTAATTGGCTAAACTCAAAAAACACAAATACTAATTGGCTAAACACAAAAAAATACAAATGCTAATTAGCCAAACTCAGAAAAAACACAAAGGCTAATTGGCTAAACTCAGAAATCCCAAATGCTAATTGGCTAAACTCAGAAAGCACAAATGCTAATTAGCTAAACTCCAAAAACAAATGCTAAATGGTTAAAGCTGTAAAAGACCAAAGAAAAATGCTAATTGGCTAAACTAAAAAAAAAAACAAATGCTAATTGGTGAAACACAAAAAACACAAATGCTAATTGGCTAAACACAAAAAACACAAAAGCTAACTGGCTAAACTCAGAAAATACAAATGCTAATCGGCCAAACTCAGAAAAGACGAATGCTGATTGGTTAAAGTTGGAAAAGACGAATGCTGGTTGGTTGTTTTCTGCCCTCTCTGACATCCCCATCAGTAACCAGACAGACTGACAGCATAAACCTACAGTCGTCCTCAAATGTATTCAGACTCTTTTATTAAAGAAAAAGCAAAATTCACAACAATCACTCAAATAAGTAGAAACTGAAAAGAGTAAAAATAAATAAAAATTTGTTAAATTATAATTTCGTGAAATACGACATTGCTTTTGAATTGTGGTTGAAAAGAATAATTTAAAAAAATAAAAATATAAAAACTGTCCCGGACAAATTAGAGCACTTTGCTGATGAGCAGTGGGGCCAGAATACCTGTCAATAGGTGCAGAAGTCTGAATACAGAAAACACTTGATGGCAGTGATCGGCTCAAAGGGTTGTTCAACAAAATATTAGTCTACGGGTCCCATCGTGCTTGTTGTTTCTTTTGTTTTGCTTTTATATATATTTCTGTTGAACCACAATTCAAAAGCAATTTTCATTCAGTTTTAATTTATTATTACTTTTTTCCAATTTCACCGTATTTCAGTGACAGCTGTTTTTTTCCTTCTTTAATAAGAGGGTGTGAATACATTCGAGGACGACTGTACATTGTTGTTCTGCATGTGTGGACTACCTTGTATTTCTCCCCCAGCATGTCCAGCGGATCCAGTTTGATCTCGGACCTCAGAGCTCGGCCAAACAGCGGGAGGACAGTGTCTGAATCTGGAAGACAGTGAGCACATTTTTGTAATTAGTAATAAATAAAATACTAGATAAAGGGAAAAATCAGACGGGCAAAGTAGGTTCCAACTACAATATATGTAATATATGTATATGCAGATTTAAAGAGCCTTTTGACTGTCTAATTTGAACAGTTCTAAATCAAGATATCTGAAATCTCCCTCCGTAAAAATGACTCTAACATGTCTAAGAAGTTTTCACCCCGGCTCGATCACACATCAGATTTCTGCCCCAGCAATGTATGCAAATTACTGCATATTTTAATAGATAAGACCTTGTGTGTTTCTTTATGCAAAATATTTCCAAAAAAACTTGTAAAAAAAATATATAGCTGTCTTAATGCCAGTGATAAACGGAGGAAGCTTCATGGTAAAATCTATTACTTCTACCTGTGAATAGTGGTTTCGAATGAGAATATATGTGATTATCCAATAAATATACAATATCAGAAGCCATTCTCTCAGTTTCTCTTCCAACTCTGAGTCAGAAATCAAATCTTCAGCAGCTCCTACATGTTTCTGTTTGTTCACATATTGTTCACAGCCTGATTTATAGAACATTTCTTCAAAAGACGGTAAAAAACAAAACATTTTTAAGGCTGTTCATAGTATATTCTGATTTATGGAGTCATAAAAAGACAAAACCTTTGACTCAGGAAAAAGACTTTTGAAGCTGGCTTTATCGTGTGTGTTGGAAAAATATGCAAATTAGCACACATTTTGATGCGAACTTTGCTGTACTAGCTGATTTCTTTCAAATTTGTGTGTTAAAATAAGAAATTTAAGGATTAAATTACACACAAAAGACTAGATATGAAGTAGGATTTTTAAAAAGTATATATAGTAGTTACACTTCTGCTAAATTTATTACAAAATTTTAAACACCGAAGTGTAAGTCAACTAGTGGATCTGTCAGTGAAGCCAGTTGAACTTGCTATTTGGTGTTTTGTGTTTGAAGGATAACAGATCTTAAAAGATATCCTGGCAGCTGGAAAGTTTCAATTTTACAGAAAAAAAAAATCCACCACTGGAGTGATTTTACTGAACTTATTTGCCACTAAGGTTAATTTTCTACCTTCTTTTCTCACATTTTAATACACAGATGCTCAGTTTTACGAAAACAATTTACATTTCCTTGGAGTAAAGTTGAAGTACTCCAACAGCTCTGGCAGATTTTTGCACTTGTGTTAAGAAAGTAAGAGTTTTTGTGCCTTTGCAGCGGAACGCCACCGACCTCGACACGTCAGATGGGCGACGTAGGGAACGCCGTCCCGCTCGCCGTAGTACACCCCGAAGTGGGAGAAGTATCTGTTCCTGGGATATTCCACGATGTCCCCCGGGAACAACTTGGGGTGGGAATTTTTCTGAAAGGACAAGAACTTTATTCTTGTTATGTAAAGTTGCTGCAGTAGCTGACTTTGGTTCTCGCTGCTTGTTTGCTGATATTCAGTCAGTTGTGCTCGAAAGCAGAGTTTTTTTTTTTTCTTAATTCAACCACAACAGAAACCTGAGGTGACTAAAATGGGAACCATATAATGAGAAGCAAGTTCATAAATGCAGCTCATTCTGTCTTACGCATTCTATTATTTTCACACCTTTTGGTCCAATTGTACACATTTTGCTCCCTTTATATCTGCCTTGATTTTGTTCTTAGATACGTTAGATATCACAAAACATTAAAAAAAACACCAAAAATATTTACTAGATTAGAAAAAAAAGGATCAGAGAGGCTGCCGCAAAACATTACAAAGAGTTTCTAATCAGTAAATAATGCTGAATAAATCTTTTACTAATGCTTCATAAATGTGTTATTATTACAGCAAATGACAGCATCAGATCAGAAGTTCTAAATGTTGGTGAACTTTTTCATAAGTTTGCTTCATATTCGCTTGATAGTTACTAGATAGAAACACAGCTGAAGTGCTTGTTAACATGAACAGATTTTGGTTGTACTGCTTCACATCTTTTTTTTCCTAGAGGAAGCCTGTGTACATTAACCATCAAGACAAATCTACAAAGTGGTACCAAGACAGTTGGATAAATTCAGCATTAATATTGGTGATTAAAACTAAAAAAAAAAGAAGATTATATAGGATTTTAGCTGTACTCACCAGGCCCATGGGTTCAAGTGTTTACTGTAACTTTCTTCAGTGGCTTCTGAATTGAAACCCACAGCTCGTGCACACAGCGGCTCCACCTGTTTTACATAGCGCCTGTACTCATGTGATAGTGAAGCTCAGCAGTCTGTCACCGTCACAGTCCGCTGAGCTCCTCCCCATCACACCTACATCTGAAGAGCTCATTTGTGTTTTTGCCCATTTTTGTTGTCTTGGCTTCACTTCGGGGGGCGATTTTGTGGTTGGAGGTGTTTTTTGGGGACATTTCAGCGGCTTTAAGATGACATATGTGATCGTGGACGGCCGCAAGTTGCTCAGCGTCCTCGGTGCTCCACCTTTGGGCGGGTGAAGCAGGTGTTTCCTAAACACAGAGGCTGAAAGAGGAAGCAGCTTCAGCTCTCCAGCGCCCATAAGTTTCCAGCAATGTGATGACATGTCATAAATATTTTAATTCGGATCACTAAGTCTGCATCATTTTCGGTGCAAAAACAGGCAGAATAACAGCAGTTATCAAACATTAGGCTGATGACACTCAATTATACATTTCAGTTAAGTCTTTAAATTCACACTTTGAGGATGATCCTCATTTTTTCTTAAAGCCTAATTAAAACTTCTACTTTGGTAATCTGTAGTTTTAAGGATATAAATCTTGCAAAAACATTCATTTTCAAATGTTGCACTTATTTGTACTACTTTTGAACAGTGCTGCAACATTCTCCAGTTTATTTCTTAAAGATTAAACCCTCCTTTGTGGGTTTGGAATGTTTTTTATTCAATTAACCCCTTAGTTTACTTAAAAGAGCAGCAATAAAGTGAATGTTTAGCGCTCTTACTTCCAGTCTACGAGTGGATTCATTGCTTTAGCTCCACAATAAACCGTTAAAACAGAAATGGTTCGACATGTTCAATCTCCAACGCTCACTAACTAGCAGACTGTGTCTAATGTTATGTAATCAGTTTGTTGTAACCTTTTTAATAAACCACACTGGTTTCAACACCACCCAGCACTTTTCTGGAAAGGGTTGCCAGATACTGTTGGAACAAATCTGGCAACATTTACATTATTAGGACTGTTTGTGTACAGATTAAACAAACAGTAAATTGATTTTTTTTGGACTTTGCTGCTGACCTCCAGCCTCCAGTGTTTAGCTAAGCTAAGCTAAGCTAACCATTTCTGGCTCCAGCTCTGCTTTATCTGTAGCTCAAAGGTTCATTTAAAAAAAAAAGTTAAACAACTCCTTTGAGACAGTCTTTAATTTTAAGGTGCATCATTTTCACAGAGCAGCACAGGGACTTCCATGTGACTGTTACTCAAAGTTCAACAGCTAATTTTTCTGTCAAACTCGACAACAGCTAAACTGCTAAATCTGAATCTTGCTCTGAGTGCAGAAAGGCCAAAAAACTGAATATAAAAACCAGGTTTTCAGTGTTTGATGGAAACTTTAATGAGCTGACAAAATAAGAGTTCCGTTATCAATAAACTCTTCCCTGATTTTTTCATGTCTGACAGACTGATTTTCAAGAAATTTGTGCTAAAAACAAGTAAAGCAAGCAGAGATACTTTCTGAAACACCGAGATAAATACGGAGCCTCTCAGTGTGAACACAGATCTTTAATTTCCCAACATGTTTCAGAATCTAGATCTAAAAAAAAAAAAAAAAGAAGTCAGTCCATAATTGAAAAAAGGCACAAGATTCCTCCTGAATGCAACTGTGGTTGTATAAATTAAATAACAGTGGGGCTCCTGTGCATCTCCACTTTAAAATCTCTTATCATTTATTACAGTTCAAAGAATTTTGACCATATTTTGCTTTTGTGTAAACAGAGAATTCTGATTAAATAAAGATGTAATTGAAAAAGAAAAAGGTTAATAGAATGGAACCAAAAAGTTTCATCGTGGTGAATACTGAAACCTAAAATCCTCAACATTCACTATTTAGGATGTTTGCAGCTAAACGTACTGTTTACAACAATGTAAAATATTTCTTATGTCTTTGTTCGTTAACCGTCTTTCATCTAAGATTTTCTTTTTTCTCAAAACAGACAACTGACTTTTCAAATGAGTCTGACTCTAATACTCAATACAGTCTTCGTTGATTTTTTTTCTTCCTCACGGATGTATATCTAGTTTTTCTTTTATTTAGCTTTCTGATACAGCAAGAGAGCCAAGCGAAAGAAAACTTACAGTTGACTAGCAATTGTAACGGTAATGGTTTTATTTCACGTCTATATTTGTTTTGTTGTTGGGAGGCCGATGATTTGTATCACCAGTGAGAGATGCAACAAGATTTTCAGTTTCTGAGCCGTTTCTGTCAGACGAATGCAGCAAACACCTCCGTGCCTGTCTGCATGTGGTTATGAATAGAACTCGCTAGCTGCTAACTGACGCCCCAGTGTTTGAGATTAAAGCTGCACAGGAGCCTCACTGAAAAAACCAGTCCAGGATAAAACCCTCCGCTCTGAAATCCCTGTGAAGCCTCGGAGGATCCACCCTGCGAATCCACGCACACTTACAAAATATAGATCCTCTGTAGAGAAAAACAAAAACATTCCAGCTCCTCAGACTCAGACTGGCTTCATGATCGGATCGCTGCATTTCCCCAAAAAACAGAGCGAGACACTGACGTCACCTCACAGATTTGAAGTCTGTGTGATTTCAGTGCACACACACACACATTAATGCCCATTTATAAAGTCAGTGCAGCATTACAGTCGTTCAGTCTGTCAAAGGCACCTGAGTTTAGCTCCAACCTGAGCCGGAGGTTCACCAGTGTTTACACAACACACACACACACAAACACACACACGTACAGTATTCTGTATATATCAGCTTCAGCCTTCTGATAATCTACAACATGTCGTTTTTCCTCAAAACCTGCATCATTCCCTTTAGCTGCAAACCAAACAGACAACCACACCGGCCCGAATACAACACGACGGTTTTATAACTTTTTTAGAACCTGCTGCTTTACTTTAAGCGAGCAGTCAGGACCAGAGGTGTTTGGTTAGCCCAGTTTAACCAGCAGGAGCTTCTGATGAGTTCTTTAACGTTTGGTACGACTCGAAAAGACGCAACACGCCAATCCAACCGTCTTCCTGGACTACACAAATCTCTGGAAAAGGAAAACAGAGGGTCGTCCTATAGTCGGGCCGGTACCACTTTTAAAAACAGGATGCACGGTGTTGTAACATTAACATGAAAATAAGCATCATTCATTCATGTAAGATTGAAATGTTGATCTGCAGTTTAGGAGCTACAATCAGTCCTAAAGCTTGACTCTGTTAACAATCTGCTCCAGTTCGTCCTGATCAGCAACAATTAACGGATTGAAGGTAAACTAATCAACCGCAGTTCACTTTGTTTCAACAAGGACTTGAAGTGAAAAGCTCAGAATTTTGCTTTTAAACCCTGTTAACGGCACAAGCGTCGGTGTTCCGTCCTATTTCAGAACCACCGAGTGCTTGTTTACAACTACACAAGCTGTAGCAGCCAGTAACAAGCAGCACTGCTAATTCCTCGGTTATTCTACGCAATTAAGCAGATTTAGTTTGTGGTTCCTCCAGAGGAAATTCAGGAAACGTTCCTAAAAGGATTGGTAAAGGTTGAGTGATTCTCACATGTGAGAATCTGCTGCTTTTCTCCGTTTCATCTCTTTACTGTAAACACATCTTCTAATGTCTGCAGCTGATACATAAAACGTCATGATTTGATGTTTATCTGAAAATAACCACATCCGGAATAATAATCCGAACTCTAAGCAGCTATTTATGCGCTGATAGATTTCCATTTATGATTTTAGGTAGTTTGGTTAAAAATGTGAAGTGGCTCAATTGCTGAACAACCTTCAGATTGTTCCTAAAATGTTCTTAAGAGCGTATTATTTAAGAGTGTGGTTTTTACATTATCTGAATAACTGTTGAGTGATGAATCAACTATCACTGTC